GTTCTATAAGGACTGTAGCACAGTATCACCCCCTACAGCCACTGCTTGAGGCTAAGAAGAGCCAAGGCACTTTCTCCAGACCTCCCCAGCATCCACCTTCACTTTTCGGTGATGTTAGGGGGTATATACTTGCCTTCCTTATCTGTTACCAGGAATTTGTCTCACCCTTTTTGAACCTGCTGATACCTGCGATCTGCATCCCCAGCATCCCCTGGAAACAAGTCCTCTTCTGGCGTTTTAAACCAATCTGCTGGTTTTATCAAGTAGGCCTAATGCTGATGTTACAGGATTCTGTGAAAATAGTTCTGCCTTACTCTCCGCCTTTCTGCTTTTGTAAAGCTCAGTCACATCCACGTTTGAATGCTCCTCTCCCAGCTGAAGCCGCAGCTTCCCCAGCTCCATGGCGATGTGGTTTCCTTCACACCATTTGTTGTGGAACCTAGTCAGACGCTGCTGGCAACCTGCGAGTCCCCTGGCACCAAAGCTGGTTGTAGTGACAGGTGACGCACCTTGGCCAGCAGTTCCGTTTCACACCTCCGTTCCTTCAGAAGCAATGGCTGAATGTCTTCTGGGCCAGGGGGGCTTACTGACATCTAGATTACCTGTCTGGTGCAATAAATCCTCCATATTTACCTCAGCGTGAGCTAAGTTCCAACTCCCTGCTACAAAAAATGCAGGAGGTGTGGTAATTTCCTTGATGTCTTCAGTAGTACAAATCACTGACTGCAAGTGATGGCAAATCCCGAGCCATGCATACATAATATTAGGCCGTGGTCTTAAAACAGGAACTGCACACAGAAAGAAAACCATAGTGCATTCCCTTCTTTAATTCTTTCAGCATCTCTTCACACCAAGAACAACTATAATGCACTAATTTAAAAGTCGCTGATTTTCAGTGTTCAGCCTTTTAGACTATTAAAAACCACGACACTGTGCTGCTCTTCCTTCACTTGGGAGATAAGATTTGCTTTGACCGTGCCCCAGATCAGCAGATTGAAGCAGCAGCTACATGCTCCCAGCCGTTCTCTCTTACAGGTGTTTCAGATCGCATGCAGGACTTGGAGCACAGTGTCCGACTGCAGGTACCTAGTGCATCTCCACCACTAGAATAAAGATGAAATGCAAGGCACCATGCCTACACCTAGAGAGAGATGTTTACACATAAAACAAAGCAAGCAAGCCAAGTTCTTGATTTATCAGACGAATGAAACAGGTTTAGAGCCCTTCATATTTAGGTCAATGATTCTACCTGAACTGTGATCAATTTAACCTGGTAGGAGTTGATTCAGCTAAGCAACTCCTGTGATAACTGGCTTATTTCTAGAGAACAACTCCACCTGGACCACCACTGTTGGGAAAGACTACACCTTGCCTTAACAGAGGAAAAAAAAAGGTTGGAAATAATGGCACCATGCTTTCAAAGTTCTGCCTGTAAGAACTGCCAGTTTGAAAATTGCCACGCGCAGTGAGCAGTCACTCAAAAATAGTTATTTATTCCATACAAATAGTTTTAACCTTTGCACATACCAGAAAGCACAAAACACTCTTTAAGTGCACCAGCTCACAGAGTCGAAATGTAAAAAGAGATTCACATTAAAAGGCAAGGACAATCAGAGAAGAAAAGCCATTACAGTAAAAGCACTCCTTGGGGCCATCGACTGTTCCCACATCACTGTTTGTTTACTGCAGAATCAGGTACCTGAAGGTCCCAACAATCTGGTGGCAACACCAGTAACTTTCAGTGACGCTCATTGTAACTAATTTCAGAGACAAATCAACCAAAACACTTGGCAATCCAAGTACATCCCAGTAAGTTACACAGAAATATAACCCTTTTCAAAAATGCCATAAAGTCAGGCACCCCCAGCCACTTTTGGCATGGCAGGCTTTGACAAATTCAAACTGAAAGACTACAGCTCATCTTTAAATAGAATTCGGAAGACTAAATAGCTCTATGTAAAACCTTAAGTACTTTGAAATTGTAACAAGAAAAGAACTGGAAGTCTCTTTTTTTTTTTTTTTTTTTAGTACTCTGATCATAACAGACTTTGGGACTTGGAATCAGGCAAATTTCATACAGTGATGTTTTTCAGTACCTGAATTAGTCTTAAAAATTTTGCAGGGGAAGACATCAAAATACCTTGCTAAATGAGTAGTCTTTTATATTACATTTTTATTTTGCAAGAAAATAAATTATACAACTTAAAAAATAAAATTCAAAAATTAAGCAGTACATCAAAATAGTTCAGCTGGACTGCCATACAGAAACTACCACCATTCAAAATTGTACAGCATTATTATCTTGGTAGTGGCACACATTCAAAATTGTAAATACCATACGTAGATAGATATTACAACTCAGGAACTCAAGTTTGCTCAACACTCCAGACTACATATAGTGTATATGACAGGAAAGCTTTCATGTATTGTTTATTTCACAAATATGACCTCAAAGGATTACAAAGATAGCATCCCAGTCATTTAGATGAAAATAGAAAACAGTTTGAGTTTAAGATAGCAAATCTTTCTGTAAAACTATCAAATCTTTTTGCCAATTGTATTTTTAAAATTTGCACTTTACAGGACAATGGCATCCCAATGCAAATAAATGCAACATGTGAACATTCAGAACATTTATATTAAGTTTAAAAAGGTGAAAACGAGAAAAGTCACATTGTCTTTTGGAAATGTAATTGCATTACAGTTGTAACAAATGAAAGGTAGATGAGTAAAAATAGAAGCTAGGGACACCAACTGTGGAAAGAGGAAAATGGAAGACTTCAGAATTGAAACCGAGATCCTCATCAAGTTGTTGGGACAGAGAAAGATTTAACAGTATTTCTTAATTAAACCCATTAAGAGTGATTTTTTCCCCCCCCTCTTCTACATCAGATTTCATTCCATAGCTATTCACCGTGGCAGTGTGTGTGGCAACATGTTTTTCAGATGCAGCACCTCTTTAAGCTAGGTCTTTGGACATATATATTCATAGCTAAAAATTGCAGCCTTCAAAGTGCGTTGTTGCCATATTGCAAGTGAAGAACAGTTCATTTTCATTTAGATCTGAACTCTACCCTCCCCAAAAGAACAGTGTACCCCAGGTATCTCCCTGTGCCCCAGGTGATACTAGTTTTAAGTGCATACTGGTGAAAGTGACCTGATGAAGGATGCTAAACGTGATTCTGCATCTTGAACAAATTTGCTGGTGTGAGTCTCAGATTTAATAAAAAACCCGACATCCATTTCTGGTATATATTTAAAGAAAAATGACCATGTCATAGGCACATTACCAATTATATTTCTGCATCCCAGGTGTTGAGAAATATAGATAACATTTAGGGTGTATTATTTTATATTTATTAGTTGACGGAACGTGCAGCTCCTTATCTTTTAGCAACCTGTTGCTTTCTGCATACACCCCAGCTTCCTAAACAGTTTTATCTGAGATGCCGCCTCTTAAACTTCTCTCTCAAATCTAAGTCAATGGCTTCAAAATCAGCATTACCCCCTTTGCAGCTCCTTCTCCGTGACAATTTCACACTTGTTCTTCGCTGGTTAAGGGCTGGAATTTTTTGTGTTGAAAAGAGTGTGCTCAGACTGTCATGTCTTCTCCCAATTATCCCAAGTGAGCATTTATTACTTTTAAGTTACAAAGACCTTGTCTTGCAGGGACAAAGTTTTTTATTAGAATTTTGTTTTCTAATGTTCAAGTCGTTTTACTGATTAACTACACAGAGCACCACTTGCTTTTGATTCTGAATCGCAACAGCACAGGGCCAACATAAAAGATGCAATATTTTTAAACAGCATCTACTGTTGAGTATCAATAAAAGCATGTAAGATAAGCTGTGGGATTTCAATCAACCATAATTGGCCAGGTCTCCATTTGTCCCCATCTCTTGTTCATGAAACCCTCACTACTGAAAATTTCTTAACTCAAATAGATGTCCAAGTACACACTGTTCTCAGGCAGTCACATTGGCATTTACATCAGTAATAGAGCATGCAGCCTGTTCAAGGGTGCAAACAGCCATTCCTGTAGTTTGCTTTTAAACCACGCCTACTTTATGCTTTACTGCAACCATGTGAAAGCAAAACTCCTCCTCCTACTTACTGGAAGGTTTTCCTTTTTGACTAAAGTTAATTGTACCCTCTTCCCCCTTTCAATCATCAAAGAAGATGAGACCTTTAGATGTTGTACTTGAACTGGTTAATTAAAAAAAAAAAAAAATCGCACACTTGCAATTTATAGAAGAATATTTATACAGAACTGAGTAAAGCACTACTTACCTTTTGTCCCAAGACAGGCACTCTGCTCCAGTGATTCATGTTATCAGTCCAGTACATGCTGGGACATTTCAGAGTAGCAGAGAGGCAGGCAGTGCCAAATGACTACTTAAGATGATTGAAAACAGAAGAGGTAACATTAAAAAGTTGAAATTCCTGATGTGTATTTGGCACTCTCTCTGCATACACTAAACAAGGTATTCCTCCTTAGCTTTTTACCATTTTCATTAGAATTGTATTTCCTACCCTGCCAGTTTAAAAATAAAAAGCAGAGGGTTTGTTTTCGTATAAAGATGTTGACTTCTAAGCAACAAACCAGTCCAATTGGATTAGCCTTGCATGTATGTATAAAGTTACCAATAAGCAACTAGTACAGGGATCTTCAAGTGTTATTTTCTTTCTGGGCGAGTTGTGCATCACTTAACTCTTTAATGCATTCAGATATATGTAGTCATATTTAAATATCTGGAATACAAATATTAAATGTACAAGGAAATACACTTAATATTCTGTTCAGTATAACAGACCCACGCATGAAAACTGCTTTTAGAGTAAACTATCATTCAAGAAAGCTTCACCTTCTCAAAAAGGATTGTAGCAAATCATCCCTCCAAATAAGGTAACAAATAACATATATCCACTTGTTTACAGCAAACAATTTAAAAACAATCATCTCTTGCTTAAGGAAAAATATCATCCATGACTTGGAATTATTTTATGTCACTTATGTGTCAATTATTAAAATCCAGTTACTAGATTGAAGCACTGCTCTAGCCAACAGGTTTTAACTGTAACAAATACATATCAGTTGTGATGCGTGTGTTTGTGTGTCTCAAATGTTATTACATAAAAAGGATCAAAGGTGGACAGTACATTACTCTGTTGATCCAAAACACAAAAGTGAAAGTGCTACTTCTAGACCTAATTGCATTTAAGAAAACAAACAAACAAAACCCTCCCCCCAAAAAACCCCAAACCCAAAACAAAACTAATAGCAGTTCCTCAGTGCATGAATATTTGAATATTTTTTCCTTGTGCAAGTACTGGTCATCTAAAAACCCAAACCTGTATTCTTCCTGGTGGGTGTAAATCAAATCTACTTTAAAAAGTTCACAATGGGCTCTTCATGAATGTAAGTCTGCCACAAAACAGCATGCTGTTAAAAGTGTGCAACATGAAGGGAATGCCATCATGCTAGCTGAATGAGATTGGCAAAATATAGTCCTCTGTAAGGTAAGGCAGGGATTTTAATACGTAACGAAAGTCAAAACAAGTCCTTCTGCAGCACAAACTGTTGCAGCTGTCTGTCCAAGCACCCTTCCATTTACGTTCTCAGCATCCTGCAGAGTCCTCCACTATGCCATATATATGAAGGTGTTGATATCGGACTCATCTCTTCTGATATATTTGTGCTCTATAAGCCATTCAATTTGCTCTTTTATCATTTTCTTTTGTGGCAAGAACATGTTTTTCAGTATTTCTACCAGTTCAGTCTGAAGCTGGGCATTAGTAATTTTCTTCCTCATTTTCATTATTTGGATGATAGCCTCCTGGTGGGGAACAAGAGAAAAAAAAATTTTTTTTAAATGGTTGGTTGAAGTGACAAAGTGAACACAGCATTAATAGGGGCTCCTGGTAAGGCAAGACAGCAAGGAAATCTGTATTTTTCCTTAAAAATCAGATATATGCTGCATTTCTTAGCCTAAGTAGATACTGAACTGCTTTTACAAAGAAGCTGATAAATAAAAAGAATGAAGCACTGGCAAGATGCAAAAGATGTAAGACAAGTCCAGCCAAAGGAGAATCTATATTTAAATCTTGTATCTAGAGTGTCAATTACTCACTAAAACCTAATGTTCATTCACTCTCTGAGCAGAAGTCACCATTTCCAGGGTGACTTGTGATATGCCTTGTGAATAGCTCATGAAATGCAAGCTTTGTGTCAAATTGGAACTCACAAGGAGTTCTCATTTCATAAATACAACCAGGCATTAATCCTTCTGCTGGAAGTATGGCCAAGATGTTAAGTCAGGTGGTACAATTCACACTGTGCATGGCCTTGAATCTAATCTGACTGACAGAAGAGACCTGCAATTTGAAGGTAAACATGGGATTTTTGAGACTCCATTATAGGTACTGATCTCTGATGCCCCCAAAAAATCAGTTTTTTTTAGAACTGTCAGCTCAAAAGATTTGACATGACTGAAGGACAACCAACCACAAAGCAGGAAGCTGTAGTTTGTACATCTAAGATGTACTTACAAACTTTCCCTCTAAAGAGGAGGCCTCTCAAACAGTCATACTGCTGTTACTAAAGCATCATTCCATCTCTGAGATTTACTCTACTCTCTTCATAGAGAGCAGTCAAAGACGTCTTAAGATCAACAACACTGTTCATGTTGGTGGCTCAAGTCAGCCAACTTTACCATCTGCTGCCCCACCACTACACAGTTATGCCTTCACCACTTGCTTAGTATCTGCTTTGTCCTCTTTAAAAACGATCACCTGGTACATCAGAACAGGAGGCTGATAAGGACAAGTGCACAAACACATGTGCAAAATCCTGTATTGATGAAGGATCTAAGCCAAACAGCAAAAGGAAGTTCCATGGGATTCAAAATACTCATTTCATACATCAACATCCAAATGTGGACAACATGCAGTAGTGATAATACAACAAAAGAAATAGGGTAATTTTCTATTCCTCTGGCAGTTTACTTGCCTGGGTTCGTAATATTCTTAGCTGGACTATTCCTTCATTTTCCTCTTCCCGCATTCGCTCTGTAGTCAGTTGCAATCGACCAATCAAATTTATCTTGCCCCTTTTCTGAACTTTAGCGTTTTTTCTGAAAAAGTTGTATTGTATGAAAATAAGCAAAAAACACATTTTCAGTGAAGGAATTCCTGTTAAACTTAAATTACAGCAGCAAGGAGTACCATCACATATCAGATATTTATAGGCTATTAGCATTGCAGCAGTGAGATAGCTGGCTGACAAATCAAAACTCAATGCCAATGTCTCCGCACAATAAAACCCGAATACACTAGCATTACAAAAAAATCCATTAGCTGAAACCAACAGTGTCCGAAGTTGAAAAGTTACCGGTACTATTTTAAAGAATAATGTTTCAGAGAAATATATTTCAGTTTAATTATATAAAATTAGGGTTCTTTAGAGGAATTTTTTACAACAAAGTTCAGGAAATTGCACTAGTTCATTTTCCATCAAAAGAAATGTCTGCCTAGCAGAAAAAAAGGACGAATAACAGCTATTGTAACAAAGCAAGCTGATGGCATTCTTCAGTGGTCACCCACAAACTTTCTGTACAGCCTGTCTCTTCTGTCATGCCCTCTCATAATTTCCCAGAGCTCACGATCCTGATGACAAGAACAAACACCATGGCCCTGGGCAAGAAGCTAAGCCCCAGGAAAGCAGATTCATCACATCCCTCCCTCTCCACAGATCCATATGTCCAGCTGCTACTGAGAATGAGGCCCAGAATCTGAGGTTACTAGCAAGGAGCCGGTTCGAATCATAGTGATTGATAATAGAGAGAGACAAAAACCAAAGTAAACCATGCTGAATGTAGTATATACCATTTAGATAGTCTCTCTTTATACTATCTTATGCTCTGAAGGATTTCAAAGCACCAGTAAAAGAACACTGCAGTTCTCACTGAAATAAAGACACTCCTCTCTGGTGAAAGCCACACCAAAAATCCCAGCTTTTGACAGCATACCATATGATTAAGCAGTTTCACTTCCTTTCTTATCACTCTGCTTTTGAAACTGTGTGTGTGTAATAATCAATACAGCACTAGTGCTCTGCTTACACACTGTTCTTCCCATAAGAAATTTCATGGGCTCATTAGTAACAGGAAGACAGCAAAGCCTCCAATTTTGCACCTCATCCCTAGGTGTTTAAAAAATTCTATTTCACAGAAATCAGAATTATAGAAACATTTGTCTGAAGGGGCTGCTGGAGGTCATATAGTCCAACCACCTACTCGAAGCATGACTATTGCCAAAACTAAGTGAGGATAGGGCAGCAAAGCATGCGTCTAGCTGAATCTTGAAAACTTCCAAGGAGAAAGGTTAACTTAAAAGTGAATTCCTTTAATTATAAAATAGTACATTGTTATTTTACTTTTCAAACATCATCTTACATTAAACTGAACTCCTGGTTCACCGAGAAGAGGGTTCCTTCTGTAAAGTCTTTGGGTGAATTGACTTGAGGTTCATACAATAAAACCTGACGTTTCAGCTTTGGAAATGCTACAAGAGACTACAGAGAAAAGGGGGGGGAAAGAATGAAAATAAAACACCAGACTTTCTAAATGAAAACAATTACTTTAAGAACATAGTTCACTGCTGTGCAGACTGTAGTGAGGGAACCACATAGCTTTGTTCGAAGCTGCTAGAGGGCAACACAAAGACACCAATAAAACCAGAGAGGGGCCACAGTTTACCAAATCTCCTTCTGAAATGGGTTAGCATAAGTAAAATCATACAAAGTAGTAAACTCCACGAACTCATGGCTACAGAAGTGGTGTTAAGTCTGATTTACGTGATTTCTCTCTTTATTCTTGAGTTAAATAATTAAAAGTCTGATAGAGCAAACACTGAAGTTATTTTTAAGCAACGTATAATTAACAGGCGCCACTGATTTCCTAAATTAGACCAGTCCCACTCCAAAAACCACAATCATAACTGTGTGCTTTAGGCAGTATATGGTCAAAAAGATACTGCTGTTTCCAAAAGCTTATGGTAGATAACATTGGGTGGAGAGAATGTGGTAATGTAAAGGCTGTGCATGCTCAACAGTAGTGCAAGGAGCCAGCATTACAACTGATTAATTAGCAAGAAAGGTGTTCACACTTCAGTTTCAAAGTGTTCTGACAGCACTTTAAAAATACTAATTCAGTACTTCTGAGTTTTTTTAAAAAAAAGAAGTCAAGAAGAACTCTCTTTCAAGAGAAAGGGAAATACCCATAAAGTCCTCCTAAGTTCTGCATCAGGGAGTTCAGTTGCCAGTTTAAGGTTTTCAAAGCTGATCTTCTCTCTGGGTCTTTGGTTCCACGCAAACAACACAGCTAGCTGAAATGTTGTTACCTCCAAGTCATACTGGCCAACCTCGTTCTTAAACGTTATCTGTGAATAGAATGACAATTTTACTTATAAGCCTTTCTGGATCACAGGCCTTCTTACTATTATAAACACACAGAAAGTACAGCCATTGAGATTGATACACCAAAACCCATACACTTACAATTCCATTGGACATGAGGTGGTGCCAGTGCAGTTTTCTACCACTGTGATTCTTTTTATAAAATTCTTCAACTTCTGGGATGAGATCTTCTAATTCCGTGGGCAGCGAGACAAACACTTTTTCAGAACTTCGGGACCAGGCACCAGCATTTAAAATTTTAATATTCACAGAGTCAGCTGTAAGACAATATTGGATTATACAAATCTCCACATATAACAGATAGATAAACAAAATGTGCTTTTTTTTCCCTACTCGAAATACAATTATGGAGGACTGAATTTTCAGAAAGTAGCAGGGTGTCTACCTATTTAAACATTAAGGTACTCTATGCACCACTGGCTTTCTGCCAGCAACATTGATTGAAACCTCTGGTTTTTTGGCTTGCCTCTGCAGAGCTCCTTAAGCCCTGATGCAGCTTTATAGCTGATGCCTGTAAGCACTACTCAAGGGTTTTCAGCAACAGCAGGTCCAAAACTGGATGTTTCTCAGCCTCTCTCATCAGTGAAATTTAATCTCAGAAATGTGATTTGAGCTCTTCATAGCATGCATCCAGCTCTCCTGCTGGCAGGTGAAGGAGGAGCACAGCATGAAGCACTCATGAAGAATGATGAGGGCATAAAAGAAGGGGGTAGTTCAGGCATTCACCTGGTTGACACTGACTCGAGCCCCTGCTTGGAATTTAACTACAAGAGTAGGGAGTCTGTATCTACAAGATTGCTCATAATGAAAACCCACAATAACTTACAAAATAATATAGCTCCAGTGTCAACTGTAAGAGAAAGCAGAGTCTACAGACACTTCCAACCTAGGGGTAACAATGCCCTGAAGACTATGTTCAACATGAAGTTGACATAATTTTTAACTCAAGATTCAAAAGAATTATTTTTCACTAAGAGAAATGAAAACCAGCAAATAATTCAAAAACAATACCTGGTAAAGCAAGTTTATTATTTTTGTGCATTTCTTTGAAGGCCTGGTTCAAGTCTTCAGACACTTTGATATCCTGGAACATTCTAGCCAGCTTGTTTACATAGTCTGCTGGCATGCCTACTTCCTGTATAAATACACAGAACACTAAACTATGACATAGACAACTATGAACAAAAAGCTTTATTTTTAAAATAATACACTAAAAAAAATGAAGACCATTAAAGTACACAGGTATCATCACTTCATGATAACAGTTAATCTGCAATGCAATATAAAGTTTTTTTGCATGGATCATAAATAGTTACCCCTTAAGGGCATATGATGATTCTTTTAAAGAAATCTAAGTGCTGAAGAACACATGCATGCATTAAGGAATCGATGAATTCTGAGATTTGAAGGAATGTTTAAGGCATGCAAATAATATACTAATCTACATAAAATTTCACAATTAGAACACATCTCAAGTTACTTACATACCTAAACAACAAGTACACTGCGTTTTGCTCATTTGCACATGGAATATATGAAACCTTCGGGTAATCATGTGTGGAATATTTTAAAATCTATCACTACCACCAGCAGGATCAACACTTCTCTTAGAAAAGAGCTAAACTGTTTTACTTGCACAAAGTACTGCAATAAAACAGAAGTATAAGATGTCCGAGTGGCCTGCAATTTAAGAGAGAATTCACCTAAGCAAGAAGGATATCTAAATTCAAGAGTGGGAATTAATACCACAAGCAAGATGCACAACCAAAGAAAGAAAGATGTCAGGCTACTTACTCTGAGCCATTCCACCATATTCTCCTCAATTTCACTATCAGCTGAGATATCTAATATCAGGCGTCTTGTTAAGTGAGCTTTGTGGTATCGCATGAAAACATCTTTATTCTGTACATATTTAAGTACCAAAAGCTGTCAAAAAAGTAGATTTTAATGTATTTATTTGTATTGTCAATCATACAAGTCTTTGAACGCTGATCTAATGCCACTGTAGACTATGAAGCAGAAAAAGGCTACTTGACGTTGCCTTAAGAGCAACTGTGTTAATACTATCACAGGCATCAGCTATACATCTTTCATAGTATCACACCTCCAATTTCTTAATTTGTAAACCATCAAGAACCTTCTCATAAGTCAGAAAAGACATCGACACCAGTATGTAAAAGTCTCCTGTATTATTTTCTAGACTAACATTAGTTACTGTAATACCTTACAACCCAATACAGGCATTGATTTGCATACTAATCTTGTGAACTGACAGAGACATGAAACACTGCATGGTTTACAAGACATAAACACACATCATACACTTGATGACATAACAAACCCTTTTCCCTGTTATTACACCTTGCATAACTGTTTTTGAAGATCAAGGCCTTGACCCACATAAGGAAATAAAACAAACAAATTCATTCTTCAGAATAATTGAGAAGTAGAAAGCAAAAACATACCACTTCTTTAAGCTTTGCTTCAATTTCTTCAGAGGTTAGTTTTTTGCTTAGTGGTGTTTTTCTCAGCAACATGTCACAGTAATTAGCAAGAAGCTCAGGGCATTTGGATTCAGGCTGTGTTTTCAATCCAACACTAAATAAAAAAAGAACAACGTATCTTCAAACCGTATAGAATCCTGCTATTCTGGAGTAGTCACACTGTTAACAGGACAGACCACTCTTT